GGCACGTAAGTTGAATGAATGAATGAATGAATGAATGAATGAATGAATGAATGAATGAATGAATGAATGAATGAATGAATGAATGAATGAATGAATGAATGAATGAATATTCACAACATTGACCACTGCCAAGTTGTCGCACAAAAAGGTGACCGCTGAGTAACACCAAGCCACTGGCCATTGCCCAGCATACCAGCAGCCCCTGAAATAAATACCATATCCAGATGACCCTGCCACATCAGAGTGCACTTGGAACTCAGCTCCGAGCTGCTGCTCATCTCCCCAGAATGAAATGCCATTGAATCCATCCAAGAATTGCAATCAAGTATGCAAATCATCTTCTGTGTCTGCTAACATTTTTCTCCGATGATGTGGCTTCTTTAAGCCGCTCATGGCTCCGCTGAGCCTTCTCAGAAAAGCCCTGCCTGGGGCAATGACTTTGCATGCAAAATTGAGGTGAGCCACCACCTCTTGAAGCTCTCTCAGTGTAACATGTTGCCCCTGCAATAGGTTCTGGATAGGTTCCGGATTCGGATCCGCAGATGAGAAAGCTTGTTATCCGGTAACTTGCTGGATTGGCGAACTGTATCCAGTTCAATCCCAAAAAAATGAGGGATGTGAATGGTCCCTCTGATTTTTCTCCCACCAAAGGAACACCTAGGTCCCTTGTGAGGGTTTGGAATGCTCTAATGACGGACTGGCGCTGTCTCGATCCGGGTTTCCCACAAAATAAAAAATCATTAAATAATGGACGACATGGGAAAGCCCCACCCTGCACTTTAATGCCCACTCCAAAAAAGAGCTAAAGCACTCGAAGGCCGCACAGGACACCGAGCACCCCATGGGCATCGCCTTGTCCATATAGAAACCACCTTCAAATTGAAAACCCAACAGTTCGAAATCAGCTGGATGAACTGGCAGCAAATGGAAAGCTGACTTAATGTTGACCTTCACCAGCTCCGCCCCAGTGCCACAGGATCTTACCATTCATCCTAACTGTACACAGCACTTGGGGAATCATGTCATTTACAAATTTGCCAGTGGGGTAAGAAAGATGATATATAAGTCTAAATTCCCCTGGTGACTTTTTCGGGACCACTCCCAAAGAAGAGATGTACAAAGTTGGCACAGGAGGTTCTACAAAAGGTCCCGCTACTCTTCCTTCAGCTACTTCCTTCTGAATCTTTCTCCTAACTACTTCCTCCATGCCCTTAACAGATTTTAAATTGGGCACCAAAGTGGCACACCCTGAAATGGAATCCTGAAACCTTCCTTAAAACCATTTAACAAATAAACTGCTGCCTCTTTGTCTGGGTATTGCCGTAAAAGCTCTGCCAGTACCTATAAGTTAATTGGAGTGGGGGCCTTTTGCAGGGTTGGCAGCTCCTGCTGGAGGTCTCTTTATGGCTTTAAGCAAGCAATTGGACTGATTCAGTGGTACGATTCTGGTGTGATAACCAGGCGTTGGTCCATATCATTAACAACGTCACGTCCCATTCAAAGAGGGTCATGGCTTTGGTTAGGCATTGGTCCATATCATTAACAACCTCATGTCTCATTCAAAGAGGGTCATGGCTTTGGTTAGGGCACTCACAGTGCGTGCCCTAAATTTTAATATTTTGGTACAGGCCAGGCATGTAGCCAGCATTGACAATAGCTTAGTTGATGCAGTATCATGCCAACAGATCAAGTGGTTCAGAGAGTTAGATCCAGGAGCCAACAAGTTCACAGAGATTCTTCCCTGGAGGTCTGGAAAATAGACATGACAATGCGGAAAGGGCAATAGGCCCAGCCCTGGCACCGAGGACAAGAAAAGGGTACGCAGAGATTCTTCCCCGGAGGTCTGGAAAATTGACATGACAATGCGGAAAGGTCAATAGGCCTGGCCCTGGCACCGAGGACAAGAAAAGGGTACCCTGCAGTGAGTATAGAGTTCCAGAAATTTAGAGGACTAGTGGGCTTGGACCCAGTGTGGCCTGTCCCAGTCGACCACCTTCAGCAGTTTATAGTGTATTTGGCACTGGGAACTATACAGGGCAGGTTATCAGCACTGGCTTTTTATGGGAACTATACACGGCAGGTTATCAGCGCTGGCTTTTTATGCAAAAATTAATGGTTGCCGAGACTATTCATTGGACTACCGTATTCAAAAAATGATTGCTGGTCTAAGGAAAGGGGTAGGGTTAAAGACTTGAGAGCTCCCATATCACCTGAGCTGTTGGAAGGTATTTGTAGGCAATGAGAGGTTTGAAGTTTATTTAGGGCAGCATCTTTGTTAACATTTGCAATGTTTGAAGTTGTTTTACTTAGGGCAGCATCTTTGTTAACATTTTGGCACCTTCAGGATTAGTGAAGTAGTTGCCTCAGGAAAGGGGGACAAAACTAAGGTAGCTCTACAATTACAAGACATTGGGGTAGTAGATGGGATGGTGCAGTTCTACATATGTCAATCCAAGGTCGATCAGTGGGGCAAAGGAGCGTGTATTACTCTGTGAAGTTGTTTTACTTAGGGCAGCATCTTTGTTAACATTTTGGCACCTTCAGGATTAGTGAAGTAGTTGCCTCAGGAAAGGGGGACAAAACTAAGGTAGCTCTACAATTACAAGACATTGGGGTAGTAGATGGGATGGTGCAGTTCTACATATGTCAATCCAAGGTCGATCAGTGGGGCAAAGGAGCGTGTATTACTCTGTATTACTCTGTCGCATCAAAACAATCTGCCCTGTCAAGGCTATGGAAGCATATTTAAAACTTGGAGGACCGAACCCAGGATACCTCTTTATACATGGGGATGGTTCCCCTCTGATGAAGTACCAATTCTGGAAGTTAACAAATTTGGCCCCACAAAAGGTAGGAGTTCAAGGACTGAGATTTGGTACGCACCCCTTTAGAATTGGTGCGGTGTCTATGGTAGCAGCCCTCAGTTACCACTCAGAAGATATCAAGCAGGATGGTGGGCTTCATCCCCTTATCGGAGGTACATTAGGGCACCTCTGAGCGTCTAGACAGGGGCCTTGTTTTGTTTATGTCTTGCAGGTACCATGGTGGTGGTCAGGAAAAGACATATCATGATTGTGGACCACAGATACATTTTTGGGCAGCTCAGTATGCTGCTGCGTCCCCATGGGGGAGTTGTCTTGGTCTAGAAGTGCGGGCCCTTATGGAGTGGAGAGGGTGGCAAGGGATGCTTTGGAACTAGATTTGCTGTCATCATGATTGTGGACAACAGATACATTTTTTGGGCAGCTCAGTATGCTGCCGTGTCCCCATGGGGGAATTGTCTTGGTCTAGAAGTGCAGGCCCTTATGGAGTGGAGAGGGTGCCAAGGGATGCTTTGGAACTAGATTTGCTGTGTGGCTGCCTTTGGGCACCACCCATCAGACGTGTTGGTGATATACCTGGTCTGGAACTGTAGGTTGTATGCATGGTGAAACCCAGTCACACAAATAGGCACTTTTATACGGCCATGAAGCACTAGGAGCCTCCAAAGTAGGTGTGTTATATGTTGGATAGGGCAGAGAAGTAAATTGGCCACTACCAGGCCAAAGCCATGCTGACAGTGATGATTACAAGCTGGGTGCAGTGACTAAACCATTGCCTGGCCAAGCCAAGCCAAAAATGGTATGGAAATGTTAGGTATAGGTGCTTGCTCAGGGGATGCTTAGGGATGAGTTTCAGGTCCAGTCGGATGCTGCAGGCTCTCCGGGGGTTGGAATTTATTTTAGAGGCAGATGGTGTGCCACCAAGTGGCCAGAGGACTGGCACCATGCTGGGATCACCAGAGATCTGGCATTTCTGGAGTTTTTTCCCATAGTCAATGATTTGACCAGGCATTGTGGAAAGGCCCT